TTTCACCAAAACACCCACGTTACCCTGACCAGCCTTACCACAGACACCAAAATAGCGCAATGAAGAGCAAAGTAGTTCGATATGTACAATTTTTGTTTAAGTCTATGAAAGAATAACTCTTTAAAAATTTTATCACTGATTATGTACAATGTTATAACATATTTACAAAACCAAATAAAACTCTGAGTAGTATTCGAAACCCTCACAATCCTAATCGTGGCAGAAATAACAGTTAACTAAACGAAAAAAAGTACGGGAGAAAAATCATTTCCACATCAACCCAAACAAATAAACAAAAAGAAAAATACTAAACATACACGTTGCAATTCGTAAGGATCGAACCTATTACTTAGTCGAATCGATATAACAAGAGAGACTTGATAACTGTTACATCACACCGAAATGCCCAAACATGCCATTGCTTATTACGGTTTTTGTTACTTCATATAGATCTCTATCTATAAAAAGCAGGATGTGTGTGTGTAACGAATGCACGGCCGCAATTTTCGACGGATTTGCACCAAAATGTACATGCACATGCTCTAAGTTGGCGGGAAGGCCAAGACCGACTTTGCATTTCCCAACTTCCATCGATAGTGGAAAAAATTCGATATTTTCATGCTTCTACGGCAGTTTTCATGTAGTTTGCGGCCATTTTCTACTGGCCAGAGTGAGGGCCTATAGCTGGCTGCCACGAATAGGCAGGAAGATTCTATTGGCCACCATGAGAGCCAACAGCTGACTGACACGATTGGTAGCATGCAAAAAAAAAAATCGATAGCTGCATTCGTCACAAGTGGGAAAAATTTAAATCTGCATGGCACTTTACTCCAATTGGCCCATTCGCTTGCTTAAACTCAACGTTGATTCGGATTCCGCAGAACTGGGTTGGGTGTGAAAAAGTATTTGTTGTTAACATTCTTTTTTCATTCGGTTTTTCCAGTTACGAGTCCTTTTTTAAAGCTGATCGTTTTATGTTCATTTTGTTTAGTTCTTTTTTCGTAACAGATTTAATGTTTAGTATAGAGCATAGAAAAAATTGGCAGTGTGAGATAGGCAAGAAGTAAGGCATGTAGCAACATCAGCACGGCAAAGGGCACTCCTTTAAAGGCAAGGAAGGGCAAAAATATTTTAAGTCAAGTGATAGCGATTGTTGTATGAGTCGTACGATTTTTGAATCAAGCATGGGCAACGCCGGGCCATGCTATTAGTCTTTTCTATTCTTTATCGGATATTTGAATCTGGTAATCTGTCACATGCAAATGCATCACATCAGAAATTGTTCTGAAGACAAGTGGTAGACAAGAGTGTGAAATAGCAAGAGAGGAAAACAGAGGAAGAATAGAAGGATTAAATGAGAGGAAGAAGAGGATAAGTAAGAATAAAAGAAGAGGGGGAGGAGAGATCACCAGAACCAAAAAAGGAAAGGAAATATTAAACGAAGAAATGATTAGAGGAGAAACTGATCTGTGATGAAAAGAAGAGACACTGAAAAAAGGGATAACGAGAAGAGAAGAAGAAAAAGAAATAAAGAAATAAAGAGCGTGGGGGAGGGAGAGAAGGGAAAAGTAAAGGGAAAGCAAAAGACGGAAGAAATAACGTACGAACTTGAAAGAGAGAAGAAAGAATTACATTTCATATTATCAGCGTTGATCCGTCGGCTTTGGTAGACTGTCGTTACCATTCTGATTTGATCGTGGCTGTGGTTACAACGGCTCATCTAGGTTTGGTCCTGATCCGCAGACAAACTCCGTTGAGCCGTACAAGTAAGACGCATCTATTATCTTTTACGGTCTGACAATCGTATGAGTCATGAGGACAGTATAAAGGGAGTTTAGCAGAGACAAAGGGTGAAATAGGCAGGACGAGTTGGAGTAGAAATGTAATGGAGGGAAATCTGTGCGTGTGTATGTGTGTGTGTGAGAGAGAGAATGAGAGAGAGAGGGAGAGAGAGGGAGAGAGGAATAGATAAATAGAAGTTCAGTTTGTGAAAGACGGATAGCAAAAAAGAAGGCAAAAATACCAGGAATTGAAAGCAATATAAAGAGAAAAGGAATGGAAAGAGGGTGATTGCATATGATAAAGACAGGGATAACAAAGAAAGAAAGAAAGAAAGAGAGAGAGAGAGAGAGAGAGAGAGAGAGAGAGAAGGAAAGAAAGAAAGAGATAACAAAGTGATAAAAAATGAAAAAGAGAGGAAGAACGAAAGAAAATAAGATATAGAGAAAGAAAAAGAAAGAAAAAGAGAAAAGGGGGTGAAATAATAAAGAGCATCACTGGAAAATACGAAAGCTTAAGGAATCAGCACATATGTCTGGCCACAAAATTCTCCTTAGCCGGCCAAGCGTAAATATTAATATAATATAGGAACCCGTAATACGGAATTCTAGATAAAAGCAATAATAACATTAAATTGTAATATGTGCCCTGGTAAAAATGGTTACTGAAACATTAGGTTTATAAGTCCCCCAAATTCATACAATGGCGTCCTCAAGGACACATGGGCCAGTGTATAAAAGCGTTGGTTGAATGTGAGTTCATTATCTATCTATCTATCTATCTATGTCTGTTCATTATCTATCGATTACGATCTTTTCATATCTATCACTATGTGTCTGTTCACTATTTCGATTTTTTTCCTATCTATCTATCTATCTATCTATCTATCTATCTATCTATCTATCTATCTACATTCCTAATGGTTGTGTATTGGTGTAGGCATATGTTTTGTGTTACTCCAATTAGGCTTGGAGAGTAGAGATTAAAGGGAGATAATTGATATTGAGATATCCGGTAGAGGCCTAGCACGAGGAACTAGTACAATCTACCCCGGTGGACGAAATAAAGGGTTTGGTTCGAAATTCCAAATACCTGAAGAAGGCATGGAGCGTACAACTGTAGAAAAAAGAGAATAGAAATAAAGAATTAAGTTTATTAGGAAAGAGAGCGGTACATGATAGATTTATTAGTGCGAAAAAGTATATAAACAGTACAAGGACACATGGGACAGTGGATAAGGGCGTTAGTTAGATCCAGTGACAGAACCCAAAGAGCATGAGTTCAATACCTGGTTCAGGCAGTGGAGACCTTGGAGTGTGGAATTAACAGGAGATAACAGATATCCATTAGACATGGCACGTGTAACTAGAACAGTCTACCCCAGTGAGAAAAATAAAGGATTCAGTTCGACATTCTAACCACCTGAAGAAGGCCGGAGTGTACAACGGCCGAAATGTTGCGATAAAAATGGCGACAAAGTTGAGGACAATAATCCGAATAACGTAAATAGATTTTTATATCTATTAGTCCCAAATTTATCTATTATCCATACTTATCTCATTCTGTTCGTATCTATCTATCTATCTATCTATCTATTTATCTATCTATCTATCTCTGTTCACTATTTCGATCCTTTCATATCTATCTATCTATCTCTGTTCACTATTTCGATCCTTTCATATCTATCTATCTATCTCTGTTCACTATTTCGATCCTTTCATATCTATCTATCTATCTATCTATCTATCTATCTATCTATCCTAATGGTTGTGTATTGGTGCAGACATATTTCTTTGTGTTACTCCAATTAGGCCTTCGCATTTTCTTCGTATCAATTCCACGTGATATATCTTTGGCCATTCATATGCAACGGTCTTGACAGTAATGGTACTCGGAAAACTGATGTCCACTTTTGCCAGTAAAGCTTTGCTCTGTCCCATGAATCACAGACACGAACAATGAGGAAAATGGAAAAAGGGTCTTATAAGCTGCTTTGTGAGGGCCATTCCTGGCTTTGGGTTATGTATTATGGTGTCCGGTTGCAACAGTCTGAGCTGAGGCCGTTTGTAAGGATTGGACATTTACGACGAACGAGGATTAGTCCTGGGAATGGCTTATCAAAGATAGACATCAAAGTCTGTCACGAGTTCCTCTGTGTGCTGTAGTGGCATGTAAATCCGTTTCTGGTAGTTCGGCCAGTGTGAAGAAAGATTCGTGAAACGAAACTATTCTGCAATAGAAATATTCTTTTTAACTCATTGACAAAGGAATATCTTTAAAGAATTGGTTTTATTTTCTTTCTTTATTTTATATACACAAACATTATCCTCTTTATTTAACAATGTTTTGGGCTTTACAGTCACATCACCTTGAAACCTTGCAATTTAAGCAACGTCGAGCCTGGTCAGTACCCAGATGGGTAACACTTCGGAATACATCAAGTCTGTCACGAGTTCCTATCTATCTATCTATGTTCATTATCTATTTCGATATTTTCATATCTATCACTATATGTCTATTCACTATTTCGATTTTTTCTATCTATCTATCTATCTATCTTCATTATCTATTTCGATCTTTTCATATCTATCACTATATGTCTATTCACTATTTCGATTTTTTCTATCTATCTATCTATCTATCTATCTATCTATCTCCGTCTGTTTACTATCTCAGTTCAGTTTATATCTATCTATATATCTATCTATCTATCTATCTATCTATCTATCTATCTCAGTCTGTTTACTATTTATCTCAGTCTGTTTACTATCTATCTCAGTTTACTATCTATCTATCTATCTATCTATCTATCTCAGTCTGTTTACTATTTATCTCAGTCTGTTTACTATCTATCTCAGTGTACTATCTATCTATCTATCTATCTATCTATCTATCTATCTATCTATCTATCTCAGTCTGTTTACTATTTATCTCAGTTCTGTTTACTATCTATATATCTCAGTCTGTTTACTATCTATCTCAGTTTACTATCTATCTATCTATGTCGAAATAGATAGTGAAAAGACACATAGCTTAGGTGTGTGGGTGGTGTAATGGGTGCTATCTCGGAGTTTTTAATCGAAGAGCTGAGTTCCAATTCCAGCTTGGTTCATTATTTTCACTTATTCGAAAATATCCTTAGGAAAGGAAGGAATTCATCTATGGCTTTAAATAACCTGCAATGTGTTGATAAGCCGTAAAAACGAATCAATCAATAAGGCATCTTGCAACAATCTCTAAAGCAGTTTTTCTTAACGTTTTTAAGCAACGGCACACCTAAGAGTAAATGAAAATATCACAGCACACATACCAAACTGTTTAAAGCGTATAGATTTAAATGTTATGAAATAAAATCATAGATTTTTTGTGATACTAACGAATACTCGTTGTCACTTTTCTAATGCTCGTTGTAGTAGAGACTTTGTAATCGCAGATACAACTATAGTAACGCCGTTGGTGTTAGACGCTTTCGAATATCACTCGCACTAATAGTACTTGCTCGATAATACTAACTTGAATAGTAAGTACCGAATAGTGAAATAGTATAGGGAGAGTAGAGAATAGCGTTCCTTATAGTAATAGAGGATAGAATAGAAGTACAGTTCATTTAGACGTCACGCGACTTCCTACTTATGTGTTTCATCTGTTGTCACGTAGTCTACTTAATTCAATAATGGGGTCGCCTGTGTTTGCTCACTGGCGATTTGTGTTCAAACTGAAGTGTCGGCAGTGGCACTTTATTCCTATATAACAAGACTAGCAGCATGGCCCGCCGTTGCCCGTGCTTGATTCAAAAATCGTACGACTCATACAGTAATCGCTATCACTTGTTTTGCCCTTCCTTGCCTTTAAAGGAGTGCCCTTTGCCGTGCTGATGTTGCTACTTGCCTTACTTCTTGCCTATCTCACACTCCGAATTTTTTCTAAGCTCTATACTAAACATTAAATCTGTTACGAAAAAAGAACTAAACAAAATGAACACAAAATGATCAGCTTTAAAAAAGAACTTGTAACTGGAAAATCCGAATGAAAAAAGAATGTTAACAACAAATACTTTTTCACACCCAATCCAGTTCTGCGGAATCAGAATCAACATTGAGTTTAAGCAAGCGAATGAACCAATTGGAGTAAAGTGCCATGCTGATTTAAATTTTTCCCACTTGTGACGAATGCAGCTATCGATTTTTTTTGCATGCTAGCATGCTAGTTAACATTCGTGTCAGTCAGCTGTTGGCTCTCACACTGGCCAATAGAATCTTCCTGCCTATTCGTGGCAGCCAGCTATAGGCTCTCACTCTGGCCAGTAGAAAATGGCTGCAAACTACATGAAAACTGCCGTAGAAGCATAAAAATATGGATTATTTCCACTATCGATGGGAGTTGGGAAATGCAAAATCGGTCTTGCCTTTCCCGCTAACTTGGAGCATGTGCATGTAAATTTTGGTGCAAATCCGTCGAAAAATGCGGCCGCGCATTCGTTACACACACACACACACACACACACAACCTACCTTTTATAGATAGAGATTAAAAAAATACACATCCAAATATGAACTTACTTTATTCCAATGTTTCTATTCAACTATTTGTGCAGCTTATTTAGTGGGAAACATGTGCCTAGTGGTTTTTTTTTGCGATTTATTAAAGTTTTGGTCGAATGTGTGATAAGCAGACCCTCATTTCTTCCTCAGTTGAATGTAGTATTTATCGCTTTTTATTTTTGAGGTTATTCAGGGTCGAGAGGCGTAATTTGTAGAAGTAGAAAATTGCAATAAAATTGATAAAACTTTCTTAGCTAATAAGATATATCCCTTTTGTATTGAAATCCAATGGGTACCGTTGAATACTTTGACCCCTTAAAAATATACTTTTTAAAAAATGAATATTAAAACAAATTATTTAAAATAACATAATCGAAGAATAATGAAAAGAATTAAAAAAAATGTTTAATATTTATTCAAATATTAACATTGCACTATTTCTACATATATATGTATTTTTTTCACCTCGTGACCCGCAGGGTCGTACGAGCACCATGTGTACTGCAGCCACAGTAGAAGTGGTATTTCTAGGGCAACATAACCTGACGGAGCCCAACCTTCTCCAGGCGGGTTTTGAATTGGGTGGCAACCGGTCTAAGATATTATAAGGTTATAGAAATCAGTCTGTCCTGCTATTTACCCATAGCTGGGTGAAGGAGAAGAGGGTTCATACCTTTCCCAAGGGTATTAGCACGTAAGTGAATGTAACGGATCCGACTGGAATTCGAACCTGACCCTCTGATTCCTCAGTCAGAGCCGCTATCCATTACCCCACCGTGCCTCAGCATATGTATGCTGCGACATTATTTCGCGGCACACTTAAGAGGGCAGCTCGGTACACAAGAAAATTTACATGCGTACCATCGGAAAGAGACCGTTGATATTTCGGGAAGACATTATGAGGAAAGAAGTGTTGGAGAATTAAACACTCACAGGATATAATGAAGACAAGAGAATTAGGGGAAAATAGATTGTAGAAAACTTAACGGGTATGTGAGAATGGATGGCAGGAAAGAGAAAAAGGGTAGAGAATCGAAAGTTGAAAACTTGAGCAACAAAAGAGAAATTATGAAGGGCTATGATCGCTCACGCCTTGAAGGGATGCGACACATTAGATGAAGTAAACTGCCAATGTTGCATTTATCTGATTACACCCCCCACACACAAACACGTGTGTGTGAGTGCATATGCATCTGTAGATATGCCTGTATATATGTGTAAACTTAAATATAAGCATTGGCACACACACATGAACAAACATTGTTTCATATATATATATATATATATATATATATATATATGGATGTAGATACATACATACACATCTATCTACTTCTGTTAATTTCTTTGTTTGTTTCTTTACTTCTTTCTAACTTCGTTCTCGACATTTTCTTTTGTTTTCATCACCATTTATCTCCCGTTCTTCGTTCTATCAATATATATTTTTCCTTTCTTCTATCTATCTATCTATCTATCTTAATGTGTGTCTTTTATCTATTAATCCCGCAGTATATTCCTTTCTCGCTCAATGTGTGTAATCTATCTATCTATCTATCTATCTATCTATCTTACTCTGTTTATTATCTATCTATCTATCTTACTCTGTTTATTATCTATCTATCTATCTATCTATCTTACTCTGTTTATTATCTATCTATCTATCTATCTATCTCTGTTTATTATCTATCTATCTATCTATCTATCTCTGTTTATTATCTATCTATCTATCTATCTATCTCTGTTTATTATCTATCTATCTATCTATCTATCTATCTATCTATCTATCTCATTCTGATTCTAGTCAAAACGTCCGATGCATATATTAGTACAGTTACTGACCTCATATAGTTTATCCACAATTTCGAGCATAATATTCAAGAACATGTTTTGAAAAATATAAAAATTCGGTTCTTTTTTAATCAAACTTGTTCATATTATATATATATATATATATATATATATATATATATATATATATATATATATATATGATTAAGATAAGTAAAAGTTTGTCGGCTGATTGATGTGACTATGAGCATCTCGACTCCAGAGTTTCGAAGACGGACCTGTCTGTCCATTCTTCAGTAGGTATCAGCAATTTACTGCTTATATTTTTTCGATTTTTACTGACGTGAGTTTTCTGTATTCTCTGTGTGTTTGGGTGTGAGCATGTGTGGTTTAAAGTTTCCGATGTTTATGGGGGAAGAGTGCATAATATCGAAGATAGACCGTTTATAGGTATTGTGTGGGGATATATGAATCAACACTGTATATTGACAGTCAATTTCACGCCTGAATTGATCTTAAGTCCATAGGTAAACCTAAATTCATTACTAAATAAACTAGTCTTAACACAAAAAAATAAACCAGAAAAGAAATGAAAACTGGAAATGCTAGTGCACAGCCTATACAACTTCATATCTATAATGCCCATGAAAGCAATGATCTATCTATCTATCTATCTATCTATCTATCTATTCTAGTATATCATTATCTACCTTAATGTTTGCCTTTTATCTATCATTCTCACAGTATATTCCTAGCCACATCAATGTGTGTAATCTATCTATCTATCTATCTATCTATCTATCTATCTATCCTTCCTAGTATATCACTACCTACCTTAATGTTTGCCTTTTATGTATCAACTCGCATCTATCTATCTATCTATCTATCTATCTATCTATCTATCTATCTATCTTAATGTGTGTCTTTTATCTATCAATCTCGCGGTATATTCCTATCTACCTCAATGTACCTATAATGCCCGTGAAAGGAATAGTACCAAATGTCCATAGCCACATGTGTCTATATCTTTTAAACAATAGAATCCTGCGCTTGTCTTTATCGCGAGTCCCGTATGGTATTTTACAATTATTTCCTAGTATTTGCCTTATACTGACAGTTCATACCACACTGACAGCACCCAGTTCTTGATAATGACTGAGACAGTCGAAACTACCTGCACTGTCTCTCACCACCCCAAAGACATAACAAAGCAAAAAACAAAAACAAAAACTTGAACTTCCGAGAAACAATTTCATCTCTACGTACACTGTATTGGAAATTTGGAAAATCCAATAACAGATAGACTTTGTCAGTTGAATTTAACAAAACTTGTTTAAATGGATTCCTGGTGCCTAAATACATTATATGTATGGTTACATTATACAGCTTATACGTAAATAAAACATTTCAGAAAATCCTGGGAAAATAATGATATAAACACATATAATTAAGATTGACAGCTCGGCTGAAAAATAATGTTTTCTCATATCAATGTGAGAGGTAAGTCGCCATTTTCAAGAAGCCGTTCCAGTGACGTGATTCGGTGTTCGTGTTTTCATTATTCTAATGAAGCAACGTTTAAAAGCTGAAGAAATCAGACGCAATACGAACTGAACACAAAATTAACAAAAAAAAAAAAAAAAAAAATGAAGAGTAGATGTCAAAATAACAAAATGAAGGAAAA